CTGACCATGAGAGGAACAGTTGAATAATTTTGTAATGTTCATAATATTATTATTAATAATAATAATGAATAATTTCTTAAAGTTTATATTAATAATGATGATGACAATAATAATAATTTCCTAATTTCTATATTAATAATAACAATAATGAATAATTTTCTAATTTTCATAATAATAATAATAATAATTTTCTGATGTTTGTATTAATAATAACAATAATGAATAATTTTCTGATGTTAATATTAATAATAATATTAATAATAATAAATAATGAAATGTTCATATTGATAATAATGATGATGATAATAATGAATAATTTCTTAATTTCCATATTAATAATAAAGAATAATTTTCTAATGTTCATATTAATAGTCATAATAATAATTCTTACATTCATATTAATACTAATAATATTAATAATAGTAATGACTAATTTCCTAATGTTTATATTGTACCCATCAGTGGCTACATGATGTAGGGTTGAAAGCTGAAACTGCACAGGACCAATGCTTGTTAACTAGGAATTATCAAGTACATATACTAAAGTATTGTGTTAGCCCAAAATGCAGATTCTATGATAAATATCCAGAAACGATTGATCATCTTGTAGCAGGTTGCACGATATTGGCACCCACTGAATATAAAACCCAGCATGACAGAGTGGGCCAATATCTGCACTGGAAAATTTGCAACTTCTACGGGAAGGAAACTGAAAGAAACTGGTATGGACACCACCCAGACCCAGTTACGAAGATAAGGACCTGTTACAATTCTATAGGACTACACAATACACACTGACAGAACAATCAAAGCCAACCACCCAGATAAATTAAATTAAATAAAAGATCACAATCAAAAAAGTGCCTCCTTATTGATATGGCAGTCCCTGCTGACTGCAATGTATCTTTGAAGATATTCAAAAAGCTGTCAAAATACAAGGACCTTGAAATAGAAATCTCAAAAATGTGGCATATGGGAACATCAACAATCCCTGTTGTAGTTGGAGCCCTAGGATTGGTTGGAAAAGATTTCAGTAGACTAATTGAAGGGATCCCTGGAAGTACATGCCTCAAAGAGATACAAAAATTGTTCTGACAAGTACAGCCCACACTTTACAGAGGGCTTTATCTATGTAATTTTTTTTTTCAGTGGAAAGTGTCATGATGCCATTTCTAACCTTAGGTCCTAAAGGGACCGGAAAAAATGTGTAAACGCCAGAAATCAAAGAAAATAAAAATAATAATAATAATGATAATAATAAAATAATAATAAATTAATTGAGCTGCAGTACTATTTTTTCCTTCCTTTAAATAATTTGGTACAGTTTGCAGAAAGTCTAATTAAACAGTGAAATGTCAACATTGATTTTTATAGTGAACTAGCAGCATGGCCCGGCGTTGCCTGTGTTTGATTCAAAAATAGTACGACTAATACAACAATCGCTATCACTTGACTTAAAATATTTTTGCCCTTCCTTGCCTTTAGAGGTGCCCTTTGCCGTGCTGATGTTGTTACGCCTTACTTCTTGCCTATATCACACTGCCAACTTTTTTTTCTAAGCTCTATAGTAAACATTAAATCTGTTACGAAAAAAGAACTAAACAAAATAAACTGTACGATCAGGCTTTAAAAACCGGAAAAAACATTTTAAGGGTTGACCGATTGTCGATTTGCACTCTGTTTGGGGGGCGTTCAGAGTTGAAACTTCACATGATGACTCCCAATGGCCTCTTCATAAATCCGCTTGGTTTTCACTAAAACCGACATGCGGTTCAGGCAATCTGGGCGTATCGGTTTTGGGTTTTTATTGATTTTTCCGCGCTGTTTAGGGTCCGTGGTCATGAAACTTCTGGACAACACTTCTAATGGTAGACTCTAAGAGGTTTTCAAATTTGATCATCGATTTTTTCGATTATCGATTTCTTCAGAACCTGATTCTGAACTCAAAAATCGGGCTCCGTCATGTCCTTACGGCAGCCATTTGCAAACTTGTGTTGAAAACCGCATCGAAATCGGGTGAGAAATGCGCCCTGGGCAAGGTAACAATGCCCACAACAGACACACAGACAGACAACATGAGAAATATAGATAGTAGATTCTTTAGGTTTTCTATTTTACGACTAAATTTTGACAAGGCAAATATAAATTTCTTCTATACATGATAGAGAAAAAAGAAACCCGATTGAATGAAACATTGCTTATATATAGTATTTTTTAAAAATTTGAATTTAAAATAAACAACATAGAAGAAATGTTTATTAAAATATCCTTTTAAAATTTGAATTTAAAATAAACAACATAGAAGAAATGTTTATTAAAATATCCTTTTAAAAATTGTTATGAAAATTAAATATTATCTCTGATATTGTAAATGCCATGTATTAGTAATATAATGTTATGGTAATTTACCCATGCACACACATGGACTCTCCCAGCTATAAATAGGAGCAGGTACAGTCTTTTGGAGAGAGAAGTTTCCAGCAGTCAGCTCTGACAGTCGGACCAAACATTCTTGCTGTAACATTCTCATTTGTATATATTTGTATTACTGTTTCTGTTAATATATTTGTTTAACTCAATTCCTCTCTTTGTGTCATTATTACTGTCCCTAACAAGGCCACAACATATATATATTTTTCAAAAATTATAACATAAATATGTTATAAAATCACTACAAAAATAGCTATTTTGTTTCAACACTTCTGGTGTTTTATCAAGTGATGGTGTTGAATGTAAAATAAAGAGTTTTAAAAGGTTCAAATCGATCAAACACTGCTTGATAGGGGAAACGCTGTTTCATAAGCTGCAATGATCAATCAAAATACAAGTATATGAGAATTCAAAAAACTTGACAACAAACCTTAGTTATAATAATTAGTACTTTAATGTTAAGGTTAAACTAAAATAGGAATCATTCTAACTGATTAATATTAAATTTTATTATAAAATTGAAAATTAAAAATTAACAATTTTAAATTTTAAATTTAATCTGTATTAAGTTTAAAATATAAAATTATTTAAAGAAGAAACTGAGGTAAAAAAAAAAAAATTACATATATTTTCTTATTTATTTTGTTTTAAAATTCAGAATAAATGTTAAAATCTAATGTGGCTGTAAAGCTTTGTTACAACTTAGACACTTTTGAAGTGGTGATATGAGCTGGGGAGGATGAAATCTTATATATATATATTAAAAAACATCCCTTACCCTTCATTGCATCTTTTCTCTGTCTACCTTACAGACAGGATCATCGACCTTATTATAAGAATGAGGTGGAAAACCTATTTCTCCAGTAATCCCCAAAATGATCATGAACTAAATCCTGAAACATACAACCTGAGATCCCAAAATACTCCACCGTGTAACAAGCTACTTGGACCATTCGAAGGCGATTTGATTGATCTAATTAAAAGGATTAAGTTCAAGAATTATCACAACTACTTCCAAACCAAAATTGGTAGAGACCTTAACAACATAAAGAAATCTAATAAATTATGGATTAAAGCCGACAAATCCAAAAATTTCTATAAAATTATAACCATGGAATATTAGTGTTTAAGCCTTTTTATTATATCCTTACTCTGTCCTAGACATTGAGTTCTACCTGGATCCTTCCTCTTGGATAATTTTTTTTTTTTTTTTCTGAAAATATACATGTATGGGAATTTTTTATATATATTTTGCATATGTATGTATATTTTCCACTAATATTATATATATATATATAAATAAAGGCACAGTGGAGTAATGGATAGCAGCTTGGACTGAGGAATTGCAGAGCCGAGTTCGAATTCCAGTCGAATCCATTACATTCACTTACATGCTAATACCCTTGGGAAAGGTATGAATCCTCTTCCTCTCCCTCCAGCTATGGGTAAAATAGCAGGACAGACTGGGTTCTATAGCCTTGGAGGGCAACTGGTCTAGGAGAAGGACAACTCTGAATTCAAAACCTGCAGAGGGTTGTTTGGGAACCTTGTGGCATTCGGTGCACCAGGTCTCTGTATTCGTCCCTTCAAAAAGTGTGGATGGTCCTGCACGAGGCCTTCACCACTATAATCAAATCTCATGTGCCGGTGTTGGGCTGTCGGTTTCCTGGAAACTGATCTGCTTGACCCTCATACGTCGAATCTCGACAGGAGAGTCGATTATTATTATTATATATATGTGTGTGTGTGTGTGTGTATAAAAGGGAGTTAAGCACTAATAAGCGCATTGCCATTAAACTCACTATGAACTGACCATGAGTCATATTCGGTTGTAGTGTGGACATACTGAAAAATAAATATAATGTCAAGGGTACAACCAAATAAAGAGTTTGATCCTCACTGGGTGCTTCATTCTTTCGGCTTTGTTTCAATCTTAGCTATGATTAGAAAATCACCATTTGAGCACAGTGTTTAGAAAGCACGTCTTGCTAGATCAATTATAACTGTGAAAAGTGAGTTCAGTCCTCACTGGGTGCCCATGCTTTTGGCCACATCTAAAGTACATTTAGAAAATCATCATGGAAGCCAGGAAAGTTTGAAAATAATATCAGTTGAAACCCATAAATGCTATCTTCCCAGGCAGTACCACTCCTTTGGGAGGAGGCTGGGGTCATTACCCAGTGCCTGAGACATCCCCAAAAGTGAAAAACCTTGACCTTGTGTCACATTCTGCAATGATTTGGGGTTGTGGATAAATACTCATAATGTGTTAACATGGGCTGTTTTGTTTTAATGATATAAGGAGGGGGACACAGACAAAATTTAGCCTTACGCGATTTTATAAAAGATGAAATTAAGTGTGCTAGTTCAAAGAAACATTCCCCTGGGAATTTTTATATAAGCTTAATAAATATGGAACACATTAATTGTGATGCAGAGAAAATTATTTGATGAATGATAGGCATGCCATACCAATTAAAAAATCTGGTTAGAGTTTAAGTACATAATTTAATCTTGGTGGTACTTGTATTTGTTACACAAGAATACTAATTTTAGGGGCCATCCCCATGATGCAGTTGTTTAACAAGCTACACCCACTGTCCATTTGTAAATCCAATTCATGCTGGGCAGCCCAGAATTGGGGCTTTGTCCTGGAGTAAGTTAGGTAATTTATTGCCAGATATCAACAAGTGAAATGAAAATTAAAGTTTAATACTTATAAAATGTTTTTGCATCCCCTTGTCAAATGTTAAATTATTAGTTATTTTTTAACCAAATTCCTTAATAAATGGAAAGACTTAAAACCCCTAATCAAAGCATGTAATAAAAAGAAATAGCTTTTAGAAAGCTCTCATACCTCTGTGGCTGAGTACACCAGGTTCTCTTACAAAGGGGATGTAAATTCAAACCCTGCTGGAGAGCATATTTCCTTCATTGACTTTCTTGAATGTGCATGCCGGATGATGTAATTCATACTGTTAAAAAAGACAGGCATTGACTCAAACGTTGGTTTCCACAAAATAACAATTCAACTAGTAGGGATCAATGTCAGATAAAAAAATTCACTGATTTCTTAGAAATTGCTTTGTTTACATTTTGAATGCATAAAACTGAGCAGCCACGTACTTTCAAGAAAATTTGAATGAGAAAATGTACATTCTTCAAATAGGTAATTAAAACCTTGCTGGGCTGGAATGCTCTCTGCGACTGTGCAACCCTAAAGCACACCAGAAAAGTGAGTGATTTCTCATACAAAGGGGGACACAGTTTTGAAACTGGCCAGCATACATATTCTCTTTATTGCATCTCTCAAATGTGCAAGACAGTAAACATAATTTACACTGTTTAAAAAAAAAAAAAACAGGGTATCGACTCAAACAAGAGTATTCACTCCAAAAAATAATGTTTGGAGTAGTAGTGTATATATATATATATATATATATATATATATATATATACAGAGAGAGAGAGAGAGCCTGTAAAAATTAATCACCAATATTTTTGTATGAAAATGAAGATCTGATGAATTAGGACCAAAATACCAGTCCTAAGGAAATAAATTACAATCCCATGAACCCTTAAAGTTGTCGTTTTCTTAATATAATTAACATTTGCTCTGTTTTTACATTGAGCTCTCTGGATTACATCCTCCTTGGAATTATCAAACGGATTACCAAATAACTTCATTAACTAACTAACTAACTATATATATATATATATATATATATATATATATATACACACACACATAAAGATTTTGATTATCTTTTTTGACAAATACACAGAGAATGCAACTTTTTTAGGTATGACTGAGTTTTTATATATATATATATATATATATATATATATATATATATATATATATATATATATATATGTATGTATGTATGTATGCATGCATGTATGAGATAATGATATATCTATTTTATATATCAGGAACAATATTGTGTGGGAAATGTATGACAAAGTGGTAAAAAATGTCTTGTGATGTGTTTCATCCTTTAGGACTTCATCAAAATCAGAAGAAGACAAGAAAACTTTTTCCACTTTGTCATACATTTTTCTTCATATATATATATATATATATATATATATATATGAGAGAAAATATGATATATAAATTACCTTTTTCTTCATGTTAGAATTCAGATATCAAACTAAAACTTATAGTAATGGTGAGATGGGAGATTAGATCCATGGCAAAATAGCAATGGGGGTTCAGATCTTAAATCAGAAATCAAGGGTCATAAGTCTAAAGGTCATAAATCATTCTTACATGTTAAATCAAAAAAGGTCAAAAACTGTATTGATAACTCAACTTGTAACAGAAAAACTGCCTATTTCATCAACAAAGAAGAGAGCCAATGTGCCTGTTGGCACAAAGAAGCATTCTTTTATTAGGGCAAGAGAGGCTGTGATTGGTTGAAACCTGGTAGGCAAGTTCAAAAATTACCATATTTCAAAACCTTATTAATACCTGATTTTTATTTTTTTTTTTTTTTTTGACAAACAGCACAGAGAACATAAATTCTTTTTTTGAGGTAAAACTTGTTTTCTCCTTCATTGTCACAAGATCTTTTCATACAGGACTCCTTCAGAATTCATTAACCAATGTTATTGTTGGCTGAAATTTATAAAATCTTTTTTCTTGAAACAGTTTTTCAGGAAACTAGGCCTATCTTGTCCACTAACTGTTATAGCTCTTTCTAGTATTGATTGGATTTATCCTTTTGTTTTTTGTAGTGTGGAAAGTTAACATGATTATGTCAATATTTTCCCATCAAGTTACATGTGCTACCCATTTTTGTTGTTGCTACTGTTGGAAGTCTCCAAGTGATATGGATTTTTATTTGATAAAGCTTTTTGTTTGTACTTTTAGAGTACAAGTCTATAAGGTATGATGAAGGATCATTTTCTTTAAGATTTATAGTATAAACATTATATGGCCAACAAATTCAATTCAAGGTACCAGACAAAAAGGAAAGTCTAAATAAAAAAAGAAGTGGCTTAATGCTTAGTTTGATAAAAGTTTGATTTTTTTTAATGCCATTTTTTTACAGGACATGTGCA